AGAAGATATGTGATTAGAGGAATGGTGAGATACAGCCACAAATCTGTCCAGAGAGATGTTGAATGAGAAAAGCTCAGAAATATTCCACCATATTTGTAGGCTCATAGCTGATTATAAAACTAAAGCTTTCCTTTTAACATGATGGTGAAACCTCAGAAGATAATAATCGTAAGGTTTGGATCCTTATTTAAAGTTCTTCCAGACTGTTACACCCGTAAATTTTATACAATATGTCTGCATCTCATGCAAGAATATGCTTTTTGTTTTTGTGAAGTTGCTTGGTACTTCCCAGCTGCATTTCATCTGGAAACGCTCTAAGAAAAGCCTTTCTCATCATATGATATTTATTATTATTCCAGCATTTCTTATTCCAGACTGGGTGGAGGTTACAAGGATGATAATTCAATTTAATATATGACTATGTATAAAGAAATTTTTTGATTGAATCATCTGGGGAAAAAATCACATAGTTTTAAAGCATCTTTGTTGAAATACGCCACCATGACTTGTAGTATTCTGGAACAGTCCCTCTATATTCCTGTCTGGGACTGTACAGTAGCAGAAGGAATGAATGTCCCTTGAGTATCTATTAGCTGATTTGCATCAAGACTCATTTATGCTAGAGAGAATTTTCACTGTGTTCTTTGCATACTTAGTGGATTCAAAATAACAAAAATTACTCATAATGTATATATGTTTCTCTATCTTTCCATCATTCTATCACTAATCTTGAAGCTGATTTATGTAAAATGGTATAGTGGAAGTGTGGTGATTGTTTGGTATTTTTAATTCCTGACCCACCTGATTAAGCAATGGCAAAACATCCCTGACTGCATGTGTGCTGATTGTCTCTTGGGGCAGTCTATCCATGAGTGCTCTATAGGTGTCAAAATTCTCCTGTTTGAACTGATTGTGGGTCTAATGGCTGCAGCCATAAAATGCCTTCAAATATTTGTCTTCAGTAGCATGATACATGTCTTCAGCTTTTTGAGAATTAGTTGGGTTTTTTTTTAAAGAACACTTCTGCTTTGAAAAGTGCTTATTTCTTGAAACTCGTAATGACACAATTATTTGTTTTCTTGGTCTCATGAAAATTTGGAGGAGGACGTTGTATTTTTTGTGTTTTCCAAGCCAGTTATCTCTGCTGTTTTTCTGTGCAGAGATGTTGCGAAAGAGCAAGAATTTATCACATTCTTCCTCGGAGATGTGGGGAAACTGTGGATTAGATTCAACCTCCCACTTAGGCTGACAAGTGCTCTGAGTGGTAGGCAACTGTGGACCCTGAGATGGATGAGATGTAATGCATCCAGCTGTCTATTTAAATAGTTTGAGTGGGCAGTCCATGCAACACTGCAAATGTGTGCACTAGCATTACTCATAATAACTACCTATTGTCCAGGTTCTTGGATATAGGTAAATATATAGAAATATGTTTTCTCATAGGTAAAATACTCCCAAAACTAATTTTCCTGCAGTTTTTACAAAACCTAACCACATGATTGTTATTATCTGTTTTAGTGGAGAGATATAGTACAGGAAAAAAAGTGTTTATGCTCTGAAAGTGCAGTATTGAGCTAGAATATTGAAAATTGTCTTTCATGACAAATGTGTTACAGCTCAGAGATTGCTCCAAAAGAAATTACTTTTCATGTTCTCTGAAAGTGAATATTTTCAATAATGACCAAGAGGTTGCTTCCTCAATAAACTTAGAGTGGTCCTGAGCATGTCAGTGGAAAGCAGATCTTTATATGAATTTCACTGCTCAGATTAATGCTTAGCTTTTGGATTTGGTATTGGACGACTTAACTGAGTTGGAACTCACGTTGCTTTTTCAGCCCATTCATTACAAAGCTTGTGAGCTGACTCCCAGTGAATATACCTTTTCTGAGTACTAACTAAGTAGGGTCCTTGTAGCTAGCCTGAAAGAGGTGAAAATGTGTCTCAGCACAAAGAATAAGAACCTTCCCACATCACCTTCTAATCTGAGAGGTGAAGGAGCTTGAGCTCCAGTGTGGTCTCCAATTACTTGTTCTGGGAATAAGTAGAAAGTGTCATTTCCTGTCCTTTCCTTTCACAAACTGTGTGATTTTTATGCATTTCTGTTGAAATTTCTCTAGTCAGAGGCCAGAGTGTCTTTCTCATAGCCATTTTATTATACAGAATGAAAAGATTTCCTACTCCAGCCTTTACCATTTGTATAAGGAGAATTACATAAAGCATAAGAGAATTAAGCACAGGAAACTGGAATTGGCATTAAATATCTATTAACCCCCACCTCCCACTTCAAAAAGCCCGACAACTTGCAAGCCAGTTGATCAACTACAAATTCCCATGCTGCAGTGACAAGGATGCAATTGCTCCCTTCTGAGGCAGTTGTTCCACAGTAGCATGCAAAGGATCTTTTTGTTTGTACATGAACTTTCTGTTGCTGTGCATAAACTCTAAATTACTACATTACATAACTATTTAAGTGAATTCAACTTTACTAGCAGACGTGAATTCCCCAATAGTTGACATTTTCCCTTATCTACATTCTCACAATTGTGTCAACAGTTATAGTGCAGGTAGCTTTTTTTCCTTTTTTTTTGAAAGAGAGGATATTAAGGGAAAATTGTAAGGAATTCAGACTATTAAGATATATTTTTTTCTACTTTGGCTCCTAGGGATTCAGTCTTTCAAATACAAGATATCTCCCAAATTACTTTTTATCTGGAATTTTGGCACCATTTAACCAGGTTTTACTAGCTACATTGTCCTTGAAATGAAAAATCAGTGGGAAATATTTTTGTTTATACCATCTAATGTTTGCAAAGAAAATCTACAGAATTGTTCTAAGAACAATGAACATCCTATAGGATTTTGCACCAGAGGAAAAAATATAATAAAAAGGAAAGATATTAAATCTATCAGTTTAGGGTACTTTTATGTGCAGATCACCAGGATTTATTGTTGGTTTTGTAATTGAGGTGGCTGTGGCAGCGAGGAGTTGAAGGAGTCATTGGTGGCACTAGTGTGCCCATAAGAGCAGGGCTGGAGCAGAGTCCAGCATTCTTTGGAGCCCTGCCCGGTGTCTGTGCTAGATGCAGCACTGCCCTGTCTGGGCCACTGGATGCTGGTTCCTGCATCTCTGCACTGCAGTCTGTTAAACCATGTAGGCTTGCCTTTAGATGTATTATTCTTCATGTCCTCTGGGACTGTCTCTCCCACATTCAATTGGACATCTTCAGCTTCTAATTTAGTCCAAGGATATAAAGAATGGATGCTACCAAGTCACACAGAAGAATGACACAAACAGCTAATATTTGCATTTTAGCTTATTTCCTGTTGTTTTCCTGTGGCTGCTGGCATTGTCACAAAAGCTTCCTTTCTAATTGCTTAGCTTAAAATATACATACATTGTGCATTACATCTACAACTCCCTGAATGGAGGTTGTATTAGTCCAAGGATATAAAGAATGGATGCTACCAAGTCACACAGAAGAATGACACAAACAGCTAATATTTGCATTTTAGCTTATTTCCTGTTGTTTTCCTGTGGCTGCTGGCATTGTCACAAAAGCTTCCTTTCTAATTGCTTAGCTTAAAATATACATACATTGTGCATTACATCTACAACTCCCTGAATGGAGGTTGTAGTCAGGTGGGGGTTGGTCTCTTCTCTCCGGCAACCAGCAGTAGGACAAGAGGGCACAGACTCAAGCTCTGCCAGGGGAGGTTTAGGTTGGATATTAGGAAGAGATTTTTTACAGAAAGAGTAGTCAAACATTGGAATGTGCTGCCCGGGAAGGTGGTGGATTCACCATCCCTGGAGGTTTTCAGGATGAGACTGTATGTGGCACTTAGTGCCATGGTCTAGTAATGACAGTAGGGTTGGACTCGATGGTCTTTGAGGTCTCTTCCAACCCGATTGATTCTATGATTCTGTGTATTTTCTCAAACTCCTTGAGAATGAGAACTGTGGGGAGCTTGCAGAAGGGCCTTTCTGTGAGGCTCTTCAACTGTGAAATTCCCTGAGTGTTTAGATTCTTCACAGTCTGTATTCTCATCCTATGTGCTTGTAGCATGGGTAGGCAGACATTTCCCCTGACAGATAGGCAATAGACAGTAGACTTCAGGCTTGTCTCAAACAGTGAATGTCTCTCCCCCCCTACTTTGCAGCAAAGGATTGAGTCAACATTAGTCCCTTGTAGGACTTAATGTCAGAATGAGTCATTCATGAGGAGTTGCCATATTTAGATGTACTGTAAGGGAGGGTAGGGTCATCTGATAATAGTACAGGATGCTATTCCTTGAGGTGTCATGTGGTTTCCTGTTCTTTCCTTTCTACTTTTAATTTCCCTTTGAAGTAAGTTTATTGAGTTGCACAGGACTGAAAGAAATGCAACAGACAATAATTCAGCTTCCTTATTTCTTGACCTATTCATGTACTGGCCAAACACTCTACATCTTCTTAATTTCCAATATCCTTCCCCATATCTATTCACTTCCTGAATTTCTTTGGCTCATGATAACACCACAAAACCCATGTGATTACTCATTCAGGCTTATTGTTTCCTTTTTTTTCCTGAGGGGTAGCCAATTCTCATAAATAGAAGTTATTCCTGGGCAGGTATGTTTCAGCACATGCTGTGTTGAAATCAAATGTCAGGTATTACAGGCATTTTTTTTAAAGATACTGCAGATGTCTCTAGTGAGGTAGTCTTATTTCTGCTTAAATGGCATTAGGAAGTCCTGGCTCTAGTAACAACACCCAAAAGACAGGGTTTTGACTACTGTCCATCCAAGATCTCAGAATTCCACATGAAATCTCTTAGTTGTATTAGTACACGTGAGTCAGTTCTCCTTCTAGCCCACTGTGTAGTATTTGGTACCCACAGCTTTCATTAAAGGTCCTTCAGCAGGGAATCTATACACATGATAGACACACTCTGTAGCTTTCTCTATGTGTAATGTGCATATACAGTCTGTTTAAACTTATCTTAATTTTCTTCTTCTCTCAGGTATTATGATGACTTTACACAGTGCACAGAACGTGAAGCTAACAACGCAAGTTGCTTTTGGCCAAACCCCCTTGCAGAAGGCTTTATCACTGGAATTCATAAACAGTTCTTTTCAAACTGTTCTTCAGAAAAGGTTCACTGGGAAGATCCACCGGATGAAATTCTCATAACTCTGATCTTGATCCCAGTCATGTTGACATGTGCAATGATAACACTGGTAGTATGGTGCAGCAAGAGAAGTGACATCCTGGTTTAAGTTCTGCCTCTGGGCTTTCTTTTTCTCCATTTCCTTCTTCCAGTAACACTTAAGAAAGGAGGATGAAGAGAGAAACTTGCTATAAAGATTTCAGATCTGCTGAAAGAGAACCTGGGAGGTGCTGAGATGGAGACAATGCTCCTGTGAACAAAGAGCTGCTTGCTGCCACTACTGAAAGTCACTGCTTCTGGCTTGGCCATTGGTGTTGCTGGTGCAAAACTCTTACTTCCATCAGGCCTCATCATCATGGAATTCACAGGCAGCTCCCAGAAACAGGATAGTCAAATGGACTCTTTATCTGCAAAAGGGACAAAGTTATTTTCCTATGGGTAAAGATGGTTGGTAAACTAAGTTTTGCAAAACTGTATATAAGTGTATGTATGCATGGTGTAGCATTGACTGCAGGGGAGATGATATCTCTTGAGCTTTTGTGCAGGACACTCAAAGCTTTCATCTGTGAACCCTGTGACTTGGATGGATCACTGGCATAGGAACTGAACATGGATGTAACCAAGTGGCAGCTTTTCCTATAAGCTGGTCAAAATCATCATTATCAAGAACTGGAAGTATTGTCCTGGCAAAGGAACAATTTATGTGTCCAGGGACTATCCCCATAGGAAAATTATCATGCCACATTATAAAATAGTTTATAAAACTCCTTTAAACATGGCTACTTGGAATTGTATGTATTACAAACAAACCCTGGGAAGATATACAGGTTTTATTTTACAGAGCTGGAAAAGATGAGAGGAAATTGGTTGATTATGAATATGCTAGGGAGTAATGAAGAAACTTTCATATGCCAGACTCTTTATTTTTCCTCTCAAAATTATTATTCTTGATGACTTGTGTTTACTCTGTACTCCCCACTTAATTCAATTTATGCAAATGATATCCTACAAATAAATATAAAGGTGTCATGTTGATTGAGGTGGATTTGAGAGTATTGTACATAAATAATTCTTCATCCCATGAAGAGTGTGGAAACTAAAGTATTAACATCGAAGCTTGAAGTAGGTGTAGAAGGAAAGATAAAAAATTAAACTCAGAAATCTTATTCTAAAAAGTTATTCCTATGTAAGAGTTTAAATAAAGACCATAAGCTCAAAATTAAACAACTTCCATGTTTGTGTTGCAAACCTTCCTTTTCTGTCATTTCACAAAATGCTTTTCAGTCAAATGCTCTTCTATTATAAATGTGAGATACCTGTTACAGGTGACTCTTCATTTTTCCATACCTAATGCACACAAATGAAACACAGGTCAAATGTCTGAGTAATGGTGTTTCATATCTCTTCTAATTAGTTTTTCTCCTTTGAGGTTCTGGCTCAGTGTTTGAGACAGATCTGCATGTATGAAAAGCATTTTCTGGCTTGAATTGAATTAGAAGTGCTCCGTGTATTAACACCTTTAAGTTTGTTTTCACATCCTTTCACAAGGATCGAAGGCACCAACTTATTTTTTCATTTTGCTAATGTTGGAATGATTCAATTTTGAAGGTGTTTCCTGTGTGTTTTTCCAAAGTCTCTTTTTTACTCTCTAGATGCTAGCAGAAATTGCTCTTTGTAAAAAAGAAGTGGCCTAATATACTAAGGATTTGGGTTTAGTCTTCTATTTAACTATTATTTTCTGCGTTACAGTGCTTTGTACCACCAAAACTAGTGGTCAAGTATAAAACCCAACATACTAATTTTATCCAAAAGGTTGTTTGTTTAAGTATTTGTATGGCCAAAACCAAATAATTTTATATTCTGCATGGAGTTGCAGTTTAATCCTTATTTTATGTTAAATTTCAACAAGCTTCAAAGTAAGTTTCCAAATTTTTGTCTGGAAACCACATAGCAAAAATTATGACTTTTAAAAAAACATGTTCACTTCAACCTAATTGCCATATTTGGTGCAAATTCTTGACCAGTTCTGGCTCATTTGAAACTGTGTACACCTGATCCACAAGTCATCTGAGAGATATGAGTCAGCTTAATCCAATATAAAACAGATTGGCCTGGGTACTAAATGAAAAAGAAACTGCCCCCTTGATGACTTCATACTACTAGATGTTTATTGTGGTCTTTAAAAGAATGCCTTGTTTAAATGAATTCTGTTTAATTTGAAAATAAAATCTAGTGTGAACTTTTCTAAGAGTCTTAAATGTAAGCTCCAAAGAATAATAAATATTAGATTTTCCTTCATGTGCCATGGAGCAGGGGCAAGGATTCTGTCACCTCTCTGCGTTGGAGGTGAAAATCTAATCTTTTTTGTGTGCCTTTCCCATCCAAAGTGTGATCTTCCATTATTTTATTTAATGTAGCCTTAGCGGTTACATCTGGAGAAACATTTTAGTATTTTAAGGAAAACAGTAACTTCAGTGTTCTGTTCTTAACAGTTGTGTACATTAATAGGGGCCCAGAATGATAAATTGGATCTTCTGTCATAGCTTGTACTATGTATTAGTGAGAGTTAGTGGTTATTTTCTACTGCATGGACCTTGCTACCTCTCCCCCAAAGCCTGTTTCTATTGCCAAGAAAATCACATCTGGTACCAAGAATCTGGCTCATTTTGTAATTGCAAATTAATTCTGTGTTACAAGAGTCTCAGAGGAAAACAGAGAGACATTCAAAAAGAAAGTAACTGGTTCAAAATCCTTCCTAGAACTGGAACAGTGATTGATCCCAAGCCATGTGTAGGCCAGAAGAGAAGTGACAGGCTTGCTAAGCAGCTAGCTGACATTGTTAATTTCTGTCAGTTGTAGGATTTTTTGCATTCAGGATCAACTGGGGAAGTGTGTATTTCCATAGGGTATAAGAGTTTCAGCAAAGAGTTGACAAAAGATGACTAGCAGAAGCAAAACAAAGGTGGAGGGGGCTGCCATCTCTTTCAAGAAGGGTATCAGGGGTGAAGGCCAAAGGAGGAGAAGAGTTACTGAAGAGCAAGGAAAAAGATGATTAACAATACAAAACAATTTGGGGTTTCCTTCCAAGAGGATAACCTCACCATAAGCAGGTTAGTAACAAATGTCCCTTGGTGCTTTGGTAAGGAATGGCAAGGAAATCCTGCATGCTCCCTGCCTCTGTCTGAAGTTCATGCAGAGGGAATCAAAAGCCTCTTTCATCTCTGGCAGCCCCACAATTAAATGCCCTTCTACAAAGTCTGGGCATCCAGGTGAATTTATAGGAACACCCAGAAGGTGTGCCTCTTCTTTGGCTGGAGTAGGTGGTGTCTCTCTTTCCATCTAAATGCCATGCATGGATTTTGGCAGCAGGTGTCTACCTGCTCCAGTACGTAGTTTGGATCTTTTGGAACTTGATGCAAAGTATGAATTTTGCAAGGCAGCAAGATAATGTGTAGAAAATGCTGCAATGCAGAACATTATTTTGCTTAAACCTCATTTGTCAAAGGCATCAGGGTATTTCAGTCCTAGAAAATGAAAGGTCTTGACCTGTATATGCAAAGTCTGAGTTCCAAAGGGAAAAAACAAAGCATTGCATTTTTTTACCTCATGTTGGGAGGAAAAGGACAATTAGTGACTGTCATTGCTTCTGAATACAAGAAGAATGAATGTTTTGACAGAAATACCTAAGAGCATGCAGTGGTATCTTAATATTGAGAAGTACTTCAGGAAATAGCAAAAACTATTTAATTTTAAGTTATAGAGTCTGTGTTTCTGGTACTCTAGCAGAACTTTGCAGTAATACGAGTAGACCCCAAAATAGCTCTGAATTTGATAAGAAAAGCAGATTTTCTGCATAGTAGGAAATCTGAGGAGCACTGAGGCTACTTCCTTGTCTTTAGTTAAACTCTCAGCAGAACATTTTGAAAGGCGACTAATAGTAATAGTGCATAATGGGCATAATCTATCAACAATAACTGGGCCAAGATACTCAGGGAATGGAGGCAGAACCAGGTGGCATATAGGCACCAATCTACTTAGAGCTCACGTGAAAGCTAACTCTGCTCGGAAGTGTCTGAAGAGACATTAATATGGTACTGTACTAGGCTTTGAGAGATGTGCCTTTTTGTATCACCTTATGCAGAGAACATCACTAATGAAATGACCTGACAGCTTGAAACATGGGGTTGTAAAAAGTGTGCATTTAGAGAGTTTCCTGAGAGTATGCATATACAGACATGACTAACAGAAACATTACTGGCTTTTTGGGGGAACCTGCAGGGCTGGGAGTAGTGTAGCTGCTTAATATTTGCCATTCAGAGATGCCTGGATTCTGTCTAAATCCTTCAGGGTGGTATATTTTTTTCTTGGCAAGTTTTTATATCTAGGGTGTAGGTATATACATAAGAGTAGGCTTTCATATTTTCATCACATTCTAAGAGAGACGCCTGGTTTTGATCTGATGAATGATCAGAAATGCTCTCTAGGAACCATCACATGGATCCTTGTGACTGTTTCACTACAGCCTCAGCTACCAGAGGATGAGTCATGCTCCCAAGCACTTTAGTCCTCTATTCTTCAGTGCCCTGTCTGAATAGGGAATAATCTCAGAGGGGTGCTATGAGGATAAGAAAGTGAATGATTACAAGTTACTTAAAGAATGTTGAGTTGTAGAACATATTTACAATCTAATGATTTGAAACCACAGCAATTGAAATATCAATTTGAAATACATGCAGGAAAAATTTTCAGGATTCAGTCCATTTGGCTAGTTGTTTTTCTTTGTTGATTTTTTATTTTATTTGTAGCTATTCTCTTTGAAAAATTAATGGACTAGAAGGGAGAAATAAAGAGTCTATGCTTGTTAAAGCACAGCCTTATATATTTAAAAATGTCATTGTACTTCTCGTCTATGATTGACATTAGCATGAGTCTTTTGTCATCTTCATTCTCCTGCTGCTCAGAGCAGTAGGAGAATGCAATTTTTGCCTGACAGTTTTAGTAACATTAAAGATGCAGAATGACAACAGTGGAAGCTTTTCAGCACATAGCTGCTTAAAAGTGAAATATGTCTTTGGAAACCAGCTGAAATATTCTTGGAGAGTGCACCAAGGGACTGCATATGTGTGTATACAAACAGTGAGTGGGAACACTC